ATTGCTGGGACTATAGGTATGTGCCACTGTGACCAGATTCTCTGATTTATTAATAGCTCTTTTTCCATTAGACATTATTATTCATATATGATAGCATATACACTTGAAGTCAGGTGCTTGAGAAGTCTTTTTATTTTTTCAACATTAACTTCTAAGGCTACCAGAATTCTGTGCTATGACATATCAGGTTTGATACTTCAGAAAAGTACATTCATTTTTTTCCATTAATTTTCAAGATGGCCCTCTGGCTTTCACTCAAATTCAGGTAATTTGAAGGAGGAGAGTTCTGAAAACCTGTCAAATGTAATTATACAGTGCAGCAGTCCTCCCAGTAATGGGATTGGTTCAGTGGCTATTTTTGAAACATGTCTGCACTAACATACAGTGCTTGAGTTCTTCAAGTACTTTAAGATATTTGCTTTTGATGAACACAGGTGAAGTTTTTTCTCTTATGTTTTATGTCAGATGAATAGAAAGTTATTGACTAAAAGCCATAAAAATGTGAAATTCTAATTATGATCTAAAGACACTCTACATGCATGAAAGTGAATTCTGTGACCCTTTCTCTCTTGCTGATTCCAGTCATTTTCCCAAGTTCCCCCTGAAAAATAGAGTCACCAAGCTTTACTCCAGTTGTAAATCATGATTATTTTCATGATGTGTTCTCTAATGTTTTAGAGTCATATGATGATAATTTCATGATGTTATATCATTATTTCCAGTCCCACTGTGTTTATTATCTGACACTTAAATTCCAGGACAAACCATAACATTAATGGCTTTTGCAATAACAACATGGTGTACAAAATAGTCCACACTGAAAGGATTTACATATTTGGAAGATGGCTTTACGTTTTTTTTCCTTTCTAAAATTCCTGATGTTCCCCTTCTCCTTTCTTTGTTTTTATGTTGTGTTTGTTTGCCCATGTTAGAGTTATAAGGGTCAAAGGGAGAGTCTTACTGATGATAGTTTTAAATACCTTTAATATCCTTAAGTTAGAGTTATTATTAAATTTTTTTCCCAATTCTGAAAGCTATTTCATATTGGAAACATTATCTTCATATGTCTCTCCTTACAATTCTGTATGGTCTGGAAAGTTTGGCACAACACAAGATCTGTAGCTAGTATGAACATGCATTGCTGCCCAAATGCTGATGTCTTAAAAGCTCCTGGGATCTGAAGTTTGAAAAGAACTTCATTTGCACAAATAACACACCATTAGAATTCAGGCAGCATTAGGAGGAAGTGTTAAATCACTCTCAAAAAAAAAAAAAAAAAAAAACAACAAGGTAGGGTCTTCTATTTTACATTTAATGCTGTTGTTGAGTTATTTAAATATATAGGGAGAAGGAAAAAGTTGAGAATTCTAAGATCAGCAATTGTAAGGAAGTTCCAGTGTTTTGTTTTACGGTTGGCTAAAGATCAGCACAGGTGCAGTAGATTGTAACATAAAAGGCTGTATGTTTGAAGAGTGGTGAAACATCTAGTGATGGAGAATTGCTCTGCCATTCATCCTATGCTGGAGTTTCTCACATGACTCAGTCTTTATTAAGGCACTAATAATTTCTGATAAAACATATATGAGTCAGGGAAGGGATGCATATCAAATAATTACCCATCATTAATACCACCTTCTTTTATTTATTTATCAGATTAACTAGTCAGTCTGCAGAGAAAGAGCAAAACAGGTGATTTTCCTTGAGGAGAGAAATTTCAGCATAGCTGACTAGTCAGTTCTTAAGCTCTTTGCATTGCGACATACTTGATGGATAATAAAGCAGAACACAATCCTCTGTGCACAGCGGTGGCTGTGTACAGCTCCTTGTATTTTAGCAGGCATCCTTCCTCTTCCTTGAAAAGGTGGCACAATGTAGCATTCTGATTCAGGCTCTGGGATTAGTTGGCTTAGGCTCAAATCCCAGCTCTGCCATTTACTAGCTTTGAGTCCTTGGGTCCATCACTTAAACTCTTTAGGTTGCAGATTCCTTATTGGCAAAATAGGCACAGTAATTACACTTTCCTTGTACATTTGTTGGGAGAATGAAATGAGTTAATCCATGTAACACACATAACACAATTCAGTAAGTCCTCCACCAATAGTTACTACTATTATTATCATCAAATTCCATGGAAGAATACAAACTGGAATGTAGGTCAGAGAGATTAATATTATATTCATGCCATATCGGTATAATATGGTGTCAGCTATAAAATGCAATTGCTTTATAAGTGGTGAATGTGGTGCCAGCATTTAGCAGAAGGAAAGTCTAGTGTAAAATCACTTTCATTGCCCTAAGCAGCACTGGGTTTTGTGTTGGAATTTCTGAATGAGTATTTTTCACTCCTAAAATTCTCTTGCTTGTTAAATTTTGCTTCTGGGTATAATATGTTTATACTCACAACATAGTCTTTTGAAGAAAAGATAAAGCTAAAGGAGTATCGTCCTAATTTCTCCCCTCCCCTGACAAGTGTGTCTCTTCCATTCAGGGCAGAGGGTTTGAGGAAAGGAGAAATAAGATTTTTTTTTTTGTATCTATCTAGTTTGATAAAGCCCTTACATGGATAGAACATTAGTCTGTTTTGCTGCTTAGTCCGTCAACCTGCACATCCATGGGCATTTATTCCAAAAATTTCCAAAATAATATCAACATAAGAAAAGGAAGACTGTTCAAACACTGAATTATCTCTGAGACTCAGCCAAGTTACACCAGCTGCACTGGCTGGGTTCCTACATCTGGGCTCCAAGGCGGGTTACAAAAAAAAAAAAAAATCTCCATGAATAGTATTTTAAGAATTTTGGCAACACACAGGACAGAGGAATTAGAAAGAATTCTTTGCTGCAAACAGAACTGGTGGAAAACAATTCTGTTTGCTCTCCACAGTTCACCAAGCAGTCGAATGGGCCAGTCATTAGGATGCAAGCAAGTGTGCCAGGAGTTCTATCCAGAGCCACCATGTTCCCCTAATAAAGACCAGTGGGCTTGCTGGCTGAATCCCAGGGGCGAAAAGAGGCATGGACTGAGTAACAGTGCAAAGTATAGAATGGATTCTCCCTTCTACTATTTTTTAACCTAATAGGTAACATTTCCCCAAAGCATGTATGACATAGAATTTTAATGTGCCCATAGGGAAGTTTTATGGGGATATTTTGTCTCTTTCTTTAAATCATTAAATAGTGCTGAATAGTTTCTTTCTTTATTCTCTATGGAATTTTACTTTTTCCTATTTTACTTACTCATTTTTTGTAGAAAGAGACAAAGGTGAATCAGTTTAATAGCACCACATTCTTATCATGTACAAGAGACATTTTTTTCAGAAACAAACTAAGAATTATGGCATTCAAATTAATTGATTATTGTAAATATTGACAACGACGAAGAAGATAAATAGTCTGAGAAGGCCTCCATATAGGGATTGAGTTTTTTAATTAGAAAGGACATATAGTCATTATTACTTCAAAATAATTTTTATTAAATTATCATTTAATACAATGATGTACTACTCTAGTTCTAAAACAAATTCAATAGACCTTGATGTAGTCATCAACAAATTTACAATCTAAAAGATATCAAATTACAGAAAATATGCAAAGTAAAAAGGTGCATTTGGTCATTGTTTAGAATATTCAAGGCATTTAGAAAACATGGGAGCATAAAAGTTAGATGCTGAGGTGAAAGAAGTCATTGGAGGAGATAACCATTTGGATTCTATGTGGCAGGTAAAGGCTTATGTGAGAATATGAGAGGAGTGGAATCTTCCTGGTTGGGAAGGACACTTGTAAAAGCACTGTAAGAATGGGTAGAATTACTTTCCAGTTGGTAAAAGTGCTGGAGCCTGATCTAGGATGAGCCTGTTGACTACCAGACAGAAGATGAGACAGGTTGTGTACAGAATGGCTTTGTTGAATCCTCTCGATCCTGCTAACCCAATGGTGCAATGAGGAGGGGAATATAGAAATAGCTTTTTTTTTTTTTTTTTTTAATAAGATGATGTATAAGTCTTATATAATTGAATTATGTAATTGTAGCAAAACGAAAAATCACAGATCTGAAATCCAGGTAACATAGTTTAGGTGAAACTACCAGGATGCCAATGAACAGAGGCACAAAATGATAACATTTTCTTCACTGACTGTTTCCCAGATTAAAGGGGAATGAAAAAGAGCAAGTTCCCAGTCTTGTGCTCCTGTGACCTGGTTTATTCATCACTTTCTAAAGTCTGATTGGACCAGTAAACTTAAACTGTGCCATCAGGAGGAGAAAAAGAAGCAAGAGAAAGTACGACTTCTGCAGCATTGTGTTTTGATTGCAAATATGCTCTGTGTTACTTGTTTTTTAATTGTGGTACCAAAACAAGATGAAAGAACTGTTGCTGTGATCTAAAGTCCTGTCTCTGCCATCCTTCTGACATGGAATTGGCCAATGGAATTCTGGCTTATGTCAAAATATTACAAGACCTTTCAGTGAGCCCAGAAATCTGTTTTCTCAAAAAAATGGGCCTTTTTAGCAACTCTTCTAATCTTCTCTCTTCCATAAATATGTTTTTAGGAGAGTCACAAAATAACTTATGCTGATTGAACCTATTTCTATCCTGCCAGAATATATGCACTGTTGTCTGTTCAATTATTCACTGCTGGATAACAAAATCCATTTCACCTTTATGAAATTAAATTGTAATGGTGTAGTGACTGATAATTCTAGGACTGGAATGAACTCAGTCAGGTGGTTCTCCCTTAAGTCTCCCAAATGGCTGTAGTCATATGGAAGTTGGGGCTGGACTCTCATTTAAGGCTACCTTTCTTATAATCTGGCACCTGCACTAGGAAAAGCTGGGGTTTTTTTTTTTTTTTTTGGATATTTCTCTATTTAGGTGCTCTCCATGTGGTCTATCATGACAGCTATAGAGTGGCCATCCCTGTCATGCTCAAAGGTGAGAGTCTTCAGAAAGAGCCAGGTAGAAGGCATATTACCTTTTATGACACATCTGAGAAGTCTGATGATGAAACTTCCTCTTCAATTTATTGTTAGAAGCAAATAACTGATGTTTTGTTGGCATTCTTCATTGAAATGCTAATCCTTTCTCTATGACCGCCATATTTTTTCAGTTTCATTGCTGAAGGATCTAAAAGAAAACACAGATGTTTTGGGAATATGTAAGACAAATACATGGTTGCCATTTCTGCATTTTGAAAGTATCCATTTGTGGTGGACAACACAAAATAAAGCATTGATTGAAGCTGATATTCAATATTCAACAATTATTTAATAAGGATCTGTTATTTGTCAGACACAAGGCTAAGCAGAGGAATGCAGGAACAAGACTCATATTCTGTATTCTATGCATTAATGGTATAATTTCTATTATGACCATAAGGAAATGATTTAATTAATTGATGTACACTACTCCACTGAAACACTTCTCTCAACTTCTTCAGCAGTGACCACTTGTAAAGTGAATGAAACATAGTGGTAAAATCTCTACCCTTTTCCTAGTCCACCTCACACAATCAGTGTTTGACAGTTACCCTTTTGGATACACTGTGTTCATCTGGTTTGGGGGACATCACATTCTTGGTTATCTTTTTATCTCACAATTTCCATTTCGTAATCAACTTTTCTGACTCTTTTTCTCTTAATGTTGAGGTATTCCAGAGCTTAGTTCTAGACACTTTTCTCTTCCCTTTGTATACTTTCTGTTTGGATGATCTCATTTGATCCCATGGATTTTAATACCACTTAAAAACAAACAACAAATTAATTTTTTCTAAATCTCCTTTGTTATTTATCTAACTCTTGGACATAAAGGTCTACCTGCTCTAATAGTTCAAAATTTTATACTAAAAATGAAACTTTTGATTTCCTCAAACTCTTGAATCTATTCCTTCCTGGTTTTACAACTGAATTAACGAGACCATCATCTACTCTAATGAGCAACCTGGGAGTCCTTCTTGATAACTGCTATGGTTTGGAAGGCCCATGTGTCAAAGGCTTGGGCAGGAACCTATAGAACTAATGGGAAACCCCAGGAGATGGGGCCTAGTTGGATGAAATTAGGTCATTGTGAGCACATCCTTGAAGAGGATACTGGCCCCCAGCCCCTTTCTGTCCTTAGCTGCTTCCTGACCACTGTGAGGTACACAAACCTTCATTGTGACATGCTCCACCATGATATATTGTGCCTCCACAGGCCTAAAGCAAAGGGTCAAGTGACCATGAACTGAAATCTCTGAAACTGTGAGTCAAAATAAACCTTGACTTTTTAAAGTTGATTATCTCAGATATTTTGAAATAGTATTGAGAACTAGCACAGTAACACACTTTGCTTTTAATCACCATTTGAAATCTATCAGCATATACTGCTGATAGCTCAATCAAAATAAATAACCATCAGTACACTGTTTTCTTATTATTGCAATGGCTACACCACCCACCGCCTTGTTCTTACTCTGTGCTGCTTTGGGGTCATAGAAGATACTGTAACTTGTTGAGAAATGAATACACAAGTGAAGTAGTGAAGTAGTAGACTCATGGAAGAGCAGTGACTGTTCCTACCATAATAGCAATGTAGTACTTGAGGAGTAGCAAAGTCTATGAAAATGAAAGTTCTAGGTAAAACAAGAGGTGGGAAGGCATCACACCTCCTTTTGTCACCACCTGAAAATCTTGTAAGAAACATTGGGCTGGGGGAGCTATCCAAATCCCCAAAGGAAACTCTCTAGATACAAATCTTCAGTTTGGAATAGAAGTAAGAAGACATTACAAAATAGATCTTTTCCAAAAGTTACATGCGGGGCTGGGGCTGTAGCTCAGTAGTAGAGTTCCTGCCTCACATGTGTGAGGCACTGGGTTGGATCCTCAGCACCACATAAAAATAAAAAATAAAGATTAAAAAAAAAGTTATAGGAAAATCAGGAAATTTGATGTTCACTGCTCAGGTTATTTCTCCCCCATTACTTTGTCTGACAAACTTGAAATGACATGAAGATTTAAACCCTTGCTCCATCTCTACTCATTGTGAATTTTTTTTTTTCTGTTAAGGTAAAATTATTTTCCTTTCTTCTTGGGTGTTTTGAAAGAACACTATAATTATTTACTTGCCAGTTTTTTTTCTTTTTCTTTTTCTTCTTTTTAAAAAAGTCTTTAAAATATATTTTCAGAAATTTCCCTGGAATCACAGTATATCATCAAAAAAGAAAATATCTTTGTGTCTTGACACTTTCACAGGAAATCATAAAACTCTCCCATTTCTCAGAAGCATATGACTTGATGTCTAAAAACCAAATTTTATTTTGAAGGACATTGTATGTCCATATTATTTTTATTTCCTAAATGATATTACAATCAACTTTCAAGCTGTGGTGTTAAAAACTTGTTTTCTTACTTTCCATTTACTTTATTTATTTTTGATTTTTTTTTCCTGAGATAAACTAGATGCTTTGCTTTGATTACCTGGCTAGGGCTTTTGAGATTATTTTAGAAAGATATATTAAAACTAGCTGGAGAGCAAGACTTGACTTAGTTAAATATGTTATTTTAATTTTGCCTCCTAAAAGTAAATTTCTTAAATTGCTTAAAAATATAAATAAAAACAAATTAAAAAAGGTTCGGGCATGCCAAGCAACTATCTGATTGGAAACACTTCTAAGAGAGTGCCTGTGGGAAGATCAGTTCTAGGGCAGGTTGCTCAACCTTTTTGTTCTGAACAGTTCCTTTGCTTCTTATCTAAAGAATTCAAATTGGGGAAGGTTAATTGAGGTACAGATGGGTGCTTCAGAGATGGTAGAAAGAAATGGCATCATTAAGGGCACCACAAAACTCATTATTTTATTCCTTTTCACTCTTACATAGACTGTAACATAAAATCTAGTAATAATGGCAGACATAAAAGCTAACATTTACTGTTTCCTGTCTGCAGGCACTGAAAAGTACTCTCTGAAGTAGTTACTACTGCATACACATTCTGCAACTAAAGAGCACCAAGTGATTAGATATGTAATTTAACTCAAAGGAAAACAGGAGGGCTAGAGTTTCACCTCGGTTCTGTTGACCTTCCGAGGTGACAGACATAGGGCCTCTCTTCTTCAGCCCCTCTCTTCCTCCCTTCCTTTCTTCCCTCCTTCTTCCCTTCTCACATCACCTGCTTCCTGCTGGCTCCTGTATCCCCACCCTGTACCCAGTCTTTTCTTTTGGGTCTGTAGGAACAAAAGGCAGAGTTATATTGTGGTCTGGTGAGCTTAGACAAGCCATCTAAATACAGAACATGCTAAGTCCAGGCCTGGCTACACAGTGATAGTCTCTTTTTAGCTTCAACTAGAGAAATCCCCAGAGCAAGTGTTAAACTTGGTTACCCTTGCTACTTCCTCTCTTGGCTGAAGAGCAGAGAGTGAATTCTGGATTCAGCATAAAGTCTTATTCAGGAAATAATAACTGCCACAACCTAAGCACTCAAAATCCCAGCTTTGAAAATGAGTTCATGGTCACTGTCCAATTTTATTGGCTCTGATAGGTTGTGGGCCTAGCTTCCAAAACAAATGCTTTTTTTTTCTTTTTCCCTGTAATTTTGACACACAATCTTTTAAAATTCTACAAATTAGTAGCTCTTCAATGGAAATATTTTGCAGTTTAACCCTCTTTCTCAAATGTTTAATGAATCTGTATTAAAGAAACATATCATTCTTGGAATAACAGTTCTGCTATTAGTCATATCTATATAATAATTATTTTAAAGAGCGATATTGCCTCCTGGAAAATGTTTAAAAGTAATTCACTTGGAAACAATTTGATTTGATTATACTTATCTTCCCCCAGTCTATTTGTTGTTGTTTTGACATTCAGAATTTTCTTAAGGGGTGTGAAACCAATTTGAGAATAAACTTTCATTCTTGATGCTTCTAAACCAACCAAAGAAGAACACCTTGTGATATTTTGAATACTTTGTGAAAAAGAAGATGGCACAATGTAAATATATTTAATTTTAAAAGCAACAAATAAAAACGAGTAAAAATTGAAAGCTCAAAGTATTTGAAAACAAACTTTCTTGAGCAGTACTATATTCCAACAGAGCTTACATATTAACTGTTAGATGCCTCTGAGCTGTATATGGCCCTTGAAGAAAAAGAAGAATTAACACTCAACACTGGTTTTACTTTTCCAGAAAACATGTTTTATTTCCTGGCAACTGGCCTCAATGGTCTTTCTTCTTTCTAATATTTTTATTTCTCTGTTTATTTACATTCATGTATTCATTCTTCATTTCCTGATCTCAAAAGGTAAGTCAAGGCTCTATTATTACTTTTACCCTGTAATAATATGAACCTTTACAATTATGTGTTTACCTACAATGATGTATTTTTATTGCCTAGAAATGGTCTCCTTCACAGTGAGATCCATGTCGTCAGTAGTTATATACATTTTACTCATTTATATACTCATATCTCTAAGGACATTGTTGATATAGCATATGCTTAATTAATATTTGTTAAATAAATAAATAAATAGTGAAATAAAGAATCTAACTATGACATGTTTATTTTTCAATATATTCTACTAGACCCTAAATATGTTTTAAAAATTAATTCAACAAATATTTAGTGAGTGCCCACTATATTTTTGACACTGTTTTGATAATAAGATAAAGTAATGAATACAATCACAGTAGTGCTTGATTTCATGAAACTCTTAGGGACCCAGTGGGATAGAGACACAAGTATTAAGGGAACCTAGAAATAAATACTATGTATACTGTGATTGAAGCTATACCAATAAATAAATAAATAAATAAATAAATAAATAAATAAATAAGGTACTACGTGAGAGAATTATGTGGACCTATTTTTGCTTGTAGAGTCAGGGTGTCTTTCCTTTGGGACTTTTTATATAGTTTTGTCATATTTTATGCATAGTCTTTATATCTCATTTATCTAGAGAGGAATAAGAAAAATTAAGTCTCTTTCTTTTTCAGAACAATAAATTTAATAATGATTGTACAGAGGTAACTCCTTAGGTTTTCAGTAATAAGTTGAAAATAAATTCTGTTTAGATTCTTTAAAACATCAGTGTAAGAAAATGTTAGAAAAATTCCTATGACCAGATATTGTTAATATGAGAAGGCTATTAAGAGAAGTTGGTCACTAATCCAGCTCAAAACATTTCTTTCAAAACTTAAATCTCTTGGGACCTAACTATAACTCCACTAGATGTATTTTAAATCAGGATATTATATATTGTTTAAATGAACTATGTAATTTCCTGTAATTGATGTCCTAAACTCCTAAAAGCAGGAACCCTTCCCCTGCATAAGTTGATTTAAATTGATACTTTGAAACAGAATCTTTTAAGGATCGTTCTTTGGAAGAACTAAATTTCAGGTTGGGGCTCATTTAAAGAACTAAAAATAATCATTTCTTTTCTTTTCTTTTCTCCCATCTAGCTGAAATTCACTGCCAGACCTATACTGACCAGGACCAACTTTAGACTAAGACACATAAAAAACACAATAATAGGTGTTGATTGGAAGATGAGAGCGAGTGCAGAAATTGAATATGCTGTTTCCTGCTACTCTCATGGGGGATAGAAACTATTTTCACCACTCATTTAGTCATATCCTAAATTCAGTTGCCACAGGCTAACACATTTTAAGCAGTTAAACAGAAATAAAATGTCTTAAGTCTTTGGTTGCTTCTTTCTGGTGTGAGTGCTTGGAAATTAAGAATTTTGAATCTCTTCAGCTGGTCAACTAAGATCCTAAAGTTTTTGCTTATTCTTTTTAGTTAAATTTATTAACATTTTTTGTTTTGTTTTGTTTTCTTGTAGAAAGATTCAGTTGGATAGAAATTTGTAATGTTACTGCTTACAAATACAATAATGTAGAAGGTAGAAAATCTTTTATTGATTGTTAACACATAAATTGTACTATCTGTTAACTACTTTCTTTACTTGAGAATTAGAGTGAAACATGTTTCTCGGGGTAATATGATTGATGTTAAGTTGGGGGAAAATTTCCATCGTTAACGTTGGGAATAGATGTCAACAATTCCAGCTAGGTTTCCAAATCCAGATGACCTAGTTAATTTTATTTCAGGGCAATGAACAGATGGTGAGTGTTCTTAGTCTATCTGGCATTAACGTGCACTCTGTCACCATAAGATTTAGCGGTGGCAGATGGCAGTTGCATTAGCAAACATTCGGTTCTCTCTCCTCTATTCTTCCCTCAGGACTGAGGAAGGCCTGGCCTTGGCTCACAGCTGAGTCACACTGCAGTGGTAACCTCTCCAGCAAAGCCTGAGGAGAGAATGTCAAACCACCGGAAGATCTCAGTCATGTGGGCTTTCCGGTTCCCTGGTGGCAACAGGTACCACTGGGCCTCTTCAAAGGCTTGTGTATATTATGGCTTCAGTGTTTAATCTGCCTGGGGTCCAGTGCTACCCCAGAGCCAAATTGGGCAAGTCTATGGATGGGTGGAGTTTTCTCACCTCTTGTGGAAAAGTGCCTGGGTATATAAGGACAGCCTTTCTTGGCCTCTGTGGACTTTTTTGGATAGAAACAGAGTGTTTTCCAGCAGCATGAATCATTAAACTCTCTTGGTTGATCAATGAGAGCAACAGTGTGAGGTTTTTTTTTTTTTTTTTTTAAAGGAAGATTTCCATTTTCCAGAATTGAGGTGGGAATATGTTATAGACCTTACTCTTGGATTTCAATGATGTCATCAGTGACATCCTAATTGCTGTACACTGAGGGTGGAACGACAGTAGTGTTTTATTCATGAACTAACTCTAAAGCACCACATCAGAGAAGTTTGAGGTTTCAGAGAGTCTGTAATATAATCTTCATATTTTTAGCATTTAAAGGATAATAGAAATAATACAGGTGAAAGAGTATAAGTAAGACATTTATTAAATCATTTGTCCTTGTTTTAGGGACACATATTTTTCAGCATGTAAAATTTCAAATTCATGCCTTTTTAAGCATTCCCTTTCAATTTTCATAGATCTCCTTCCTAAACAGACCAGAGATGTACAATGCCCAATCAAGAAAAATGCAATTGATAATTGCACATGCTCAATAACAAAAATTTGCAGTCACCCAAGCTATGAAACATGCCAGGAAAGATTTTGTGTCATTTGTCCCTGCTTTAGGAATTGGAGATAACAAGCAATGCAGGGAGCGTATTACTTATTGCCTTCTGAAATATGTGTAAGGATAAAATTCTTTTGATCCTGGTCATAGCAACTACTCACCAGCTGATATAAAATGCTTAACAGTAAGCCGCAATCTGTTCCTGGACTTAGGCCCTGCATTACTGAAGAGTGATATGCAACTGCTTTAGTAGTTCAAAAGGTACAAGCCTCATTCGTTGTGCTATTAAGATATTGCAGTCTGCATATGCATTTTTAGGAACTAGCAAGTAACTGCTTTAAATATGTTGGCAGTGTATTGAGATGATTAAGAACATAGTATTGTCACTCTTTGAGTTAAAAAAAATGGTGTGCATTAGGTACATATGTTAGGGCAGGCACCATTCTAAGGTTTTAAACCATGAATACATGGATAAAAGCAGAATACATATACAGGAATGATGGAATTGAGACATCTGATTTGATAGATGATTTCCTCATTTCTAGTTTTCTCAAATAACTTTTAAAATTTAACAAGGTCACTAATAAGTGTTCCTGGATTTATGCATATTTGACATGTTATTGGATAGAATATATCTTTAGGCAAGATTTCAATGTGGGATTTCTAAAAAAAAAATGAATACAAAGAAAAACACAACTTTAATGATTTTGTAACCATAAATACAGAACACTTTGCAGTTCTAATGATTTGTTAATAGACCTACACATTACGTTCCAATACCTTTAGAACCATAATTCTTGTTTTTATTTATTTCTTTCACTTTCATTCTAAATTATATAATTCAGTATATATGTATATATTTATATATTATATATTTATATATTATATATTTCATTCTGAATTATATAATTGTCTCAATAATCTGATTTGCTATAGCAGTCTACCTAAATTTACTAATGTTAATCTGGTAAGAATATTATAGTGCTAAATTAATTTTTCTACTGGATTTGAAGGTGCTTTTGGAGCTCATATACATATTAAAATACAGAATGATGGAGTTTTAGAGCAATTAAGAGTCCGAATTCTTTCTAATGTGATAAATCTCAGAGAGGTTGGGACTTAACCAAGGTCGCAAGATACAACAGAGTCACTAAAACTTACATCTTTAATAGTCAATGAATAAAACTGTTTTGGTGTTGACATAACTAAACATTAAAAATGAGGTATCTGTAGGACTCCAGCAAATAAAATGGACAGGAGGAGGCTAAGATTTAATTAACTATGTCAAGCAGCTGCCTGTAATGAAAAAAGTTTACAAAGTTTCCAATGTCAAACTAAAATACAATGGCAAGAAATTTCTATTACCAGAGATTTGTAGTCTTCAATTTTATCAGGAAACTCTATCATAAAATAAATGCTAATATTTAAGCCACTATGTGTTCCTATATCATATACAGGATATGTCTTATAAAATTTAGAAATTCTTTTACCACATGAAAGAAAAGAGATTCTTGTATGGATCCTGGAATGCACCTTAGAAATTAGAGAACAAGACAGAAATAGCTCTCAAAAGATAGATTATCAAAAGGTGAATTTTCAAAATTTCATCTCTCTCCCCAGCTCCTAACCAGGAGTTGTGGAGGGTGAGAAGATGAGTCAAATAAAAGTCTTACAAAGTATATAATTTAACATTCCAAATATTCTGCCAAAGGCATTTTAGTATATTATTTAATTTGATTTTTATAACAATATCCTAAGGTAGGAAATAGTGACACTTCCATATTATAAATGGGATACAGTTATTTAGAGAAGTTAAGGCCTTTATCTAAGATCATGTAGCCAATTTACAAAGCTGAGATTTGAATCCAAGTCCATCCGGAGCTCAAAGTTCTCCTCTCAATCACAGTCCTGGATTAATTTAAGCATTTTGGATAGAACTGGAAGGGGAAGGGCATACCACTTAAGGGCATGCAGAGTTTCAGAAAGCCAAGGCATTAAGTTGAAAGCCTGCTCACAACTGCTCTCAGGAGGTCTCTGGTAAATACTGAGGAATTTTGTGAACTGGTTGTTAAACTGTTGATATCTTGAAATTGACTATGGTGGAAATACTTACACCACAGAAATTGGCAACTGGGCTTTGTTTCTTCAAAATTGATTTTCAAGCACAACACTTGGTGCTAGAATACTGGAGTTAGAACAAAAATGGTGTGATGGAGAAATAGCAGAAGAAGAAGCTAGACACACATATTAAGGTCCATTTGTAAAAAGCCCAGGTAAATAGGAGATTATCCTTTTTATAAACTGCAAATCAGATGATGGCAGTCTTCCCAAATAAAATAAAATTGAAAGTATACCTTGCCATAAAAATCCCAGATAGAATGTGGCCTGTGCTTTCCCCTTCAACATGAAATTTCTAATACTCTCCCTTTCCCATCAAGCTACAGCCATGCTGGTCACCTCATTTTAGGACCTTAAGGAGTCAAGCTCATTCTAAAACTAATCCTTTGCATATGCTGTTCCCTTTGCCAATTGTTCTTCACCCCCAGTTTTTGTATACTCATGTCTTTAAGATTTCACATCAGCCCCCTTTTAACACACTACTTAGAACTTAATGGAATGGCACCGGGGTTAAATGCCTTCCCTATGAAGCCAGACAGCGGGGGCCCATTATTATTCCACCTCTTATTAGCTGTGTGACTCTATCCACATTGCTTATCTCCATGACTCAATTTCCTATTTCTAGATAGGTTGTAATTATTTCCTCCCAATGTGGTTTCTGTGGGAATTCATATGTATAAAAGAACACAAACCACCTAAGTAAAAGAATAATGACTGACTCATAATAGCATTCAAAATATATTAGGTATTATTTTTACTGAAAACAGATATTTATTGATATACTGCCCAATTTTCTTCACTAGAATATGAATGCATTGGGAGCAGAGACATACATTATCATTTTTACATTATCATACATCATCATCAAGAATCTTTAAATGATTCTTGCTACTGATTCTGAGAACAATGCCTGGAACCTGGTAAGTAAAGGACACAGGGAGAGGTGTGACAATAGCTGAATATTCAGGGTTTCTTACTTGCTTTCCTGACTTTTCTGTTTTCTGTGTCTCTCCTGAAGTTGTATATCCTGAACAGTGAAAACAGGCACAGATGTGTAGCATCCATGTGGGGTCTGCCCTTTCTCTGTAAGAAACACATTTAATCTCCATTTCACAGTAGCTATATAGGAAGGTGAACCCAATGTTTTTAGATCTACCATTTATTAAGAGGAACCTTAAATGTGAACTTTTAAAATTTGGCGTTAGCTTGCCTATGTTTTAAATGTTCACAACACATTTAAAAAAAAAACTGTGAAAGATGTATGGTCAAACACAATTTCTGCAGGCTGGACTTGGCAAAGTGGCACACTGTTTGCAATGCTGATCTTGAACTTGACCTCTTGGTTTTCAACTGAGAGTTCTGTGTTCTCTGCTCACTGTCAGATACCCGTCAGGAAAACTATCTGATGACCACACTCTGCAGCTGCCTTCTCCTGAATCATGCTGTTTCACTTTTCTGAGGCTATTTGCTATTTTGAACTCATTACATACACCCTCCCGCAAATGGTTCCCTTGCTCTGGATCTTGGTCCCTGGGATTAATACATTGTTAGGTGAGAGAACTACCATGGTTCACACCAAAGTAGGTGGGGTCTCTGGGAAGGTGACGATGAGGAAGATGTGCAGTCTGGATCTTTTGCTTAAAGGTTTATTGAAGAAAGATGTTGTCTAAGGAGAGCAACTTCCGTTTCCTATCTTTCCCCTCCTTTTTGCTTCCCTGTGCCTAAAAGATAACTTTAGTCTGATTACTACAGAAGTCAAGTGGTTTGTGCTGAGTGATTTTCAGAGGTTATCATGGCAGTAATGTCTTCAAGTTGCCTTGTTTTCCTAGAAACATTTGGCAGGGGAGAATCTGAAGTGAGTTCGAAATCTTTTTCTTCTTTTGGCCTATAACTTTTTTTTTAATTATATGTGCTTCTATCAATATAAATGAATAAATAAGCCTTTCTATGTGAGTATTTACTTAGTATTTTATTTGCAATCCAATGTTCTAGTGAATAATGTGCCTTTAAAAAGATACAAAATATGATTTTAAAATAATGAGATAAAATATGAACATAAAATCCATTATCTTTTTTCAATCCCTTGGCGGGGCGGGGGGGTGATATTAAGTACACTTTATGGATGGACATACTCCAGATCTAGAGACATATCAGTTT